GCTCAAATAGGGTAGCACAGAGCACATATAAGGTAGTCTATAGAAAGACCAGCTACTCCATAATCAGACCTCGGACAAGAAAGCCGAAATAGAAGAAGCACTAGCAAAACTACAAGTAACCTGGCACATGGGATCAAGGTTTGACAACAAAACTCAGACCTCATCTCACTAATAAGAAGTCACTCGCAAAGAGAGGTATGCAGGGCGGCCAAAGAACAGCCAGCAAACGCCAGCTAAAGGATGAACCCAGACTTGGCCTAGGTGTAGGAAAAATATCGTAGCTCGACGAGACAGCTACATGGGATCTCCCGACTAAAGAGACCAAGATATGACCGAGACACACTAAGAACACTACAGCCTGAACTCTCCTACTGTCGGACTTGGGGACACATCCATCAAAATAGAACAACGAAGAACATTAACCTTCATAGGGCGAGACCTTAACAAACCAATTTCAGTGCTCAGATTAACGGAAAAGGCCAAAAAATCATAAGGAAAGACAAAAGATTTCAGCTAGGGGTGTAAATAGGCTAGGCTAGGCTAGACTTTGACTTAAATAGGTCCAGCCTGTGCAAAACAAATATTGTGTCTGGCTTGGCCTGTTAGCCTGTGTAGGTCCTACATTACAAGTCTGGTCTGACCTATATTTAAAAAAAAAAACCTTGGACTAGGCCTATTTAAGCCTATTAAACATTCAACAATTAAAATAATAGCTAAAATAATATTACTTTATTATTCAAAATTATTAAAATAATAATTTTATCTATTTTATTTAAAATAAATAATATCTTATAGGCCGGTATGTAGGCTTATAGGCCCAACATCTACAAAAAAACATATGGCCTATTTTTTAAATATATTTTTTTAAAAGCCTAGGCCTACTCTATTTTACTATTTGTAATAGGCCAAGTCTGGCCTAATATAGGCGAGGCCATAGGCTCTTGTAGGCCGGCCTAGCCCATTTACATCCCTAATTTCAACCGAACACGACCCAAGCAACCCAGTCCAGTGAAGCCGACCAAGACATAAATGCTAGAAAGCATGAAGAACAAAAGCAATGGAACCTAGGCAAGGCGGTTTAAAGAAAGATTGGCCAGTCCCAAGCAGGACCTCGGCCAAAAAGGTTGAGGGAGGAATACCAGAGCAGCATCTTCAATACCCGGCTCACGAAACCCGACACAATAATTCAAAGGTCGATTTAAAATTTGAATCAGGAAGCACAAAAAGAAAGTCGTTCAGTGTGAACTAGGAAGGGTGTGCATGACAACCTTCTCGGAATGAGTTTTTTTTTTTTTTTTTATTCCCGGGAACAAAAATGGATAGGAATTGCGTTTGATAAAATCGGTTTATTTTTTTGTTCCCGAGATAAACCGGTTTATTTTTTGTGCTGGGGAACGAAAAAAAGAATCAAAAATTTTTTGCTTCTATTTCTGTTCTCGGGAATCAATTTTCTCTCGCACTCTCACGACTTCGTTCCCGCTCACACACCAACACAGAATGATCACTGGCCTTCAACCGTATCATCACCACTCATCCCTTCACCACAGAAGTTCTTCGTCTCATTCCCTTTCTCTCTCTCTTGCGTTCCCAGTTGAACGTCTCTCTCCTTCAAACAAGAATAACATTGAAGGGGCTCCAACCTTGACTTTCTCTGTTATGGTCGCGACATACTCTTCAATATTCCTGTGGCTTTTCTTGAAGCGTGGTAACAGAACAGAACCATCTATCATCAACGTTTCTAATCAGGATAATTGAAACAGAACAGATATGAGATCAAATCATGTTTGACCTCTGGTTTTATACCCAATAGACACCACCGCAGAGAGAGATAGGACTATTTAAATGAAGTAAATTTTAAGAACAATTCTTCAATTCTCTTGCACCAAAAATCCTAAACCCAATCAGGCAACAACACACAGCACTAATTTTTAATTTCAAAACTGAAATAGCGGATACCCAATTGAAAACAGAACAAGTTTATATTCAATTAATTTTGAAACTGAAATAAAGGATACCAAAAAAAAAAATGTGTTATCAAACGTAATTCTGATTCTCGGAAAAAAAAAAAATATGTTAACAAACGTAATTTTGATTCTCAAAATTGTTCTAAGGCACAGAAATAGAAAAGAATCAATTCTTTTCAGAAACAGTGCCAGGAATCAGAATGATTATCATGCGCAGCCGAAGTATCCAAAGAATAGGATCTGGAGTGCAGATTAACAAGATTACATGGATTCTAGAAAAAGTATCGCAACCCAGAAAGGCAAGGATAAGACTCCGACAAAGAGGTCAAAGGAAAAACCCCTCACTCTAAGAAGGACCTCAGTTAGAAAAGTTTGACCTGCATGAGAAGCCAGCACTGCAGACTTATAAGATGAGTCTAAACTCACTTAGTAAGTCCCAAACCAAAGCACCCAACACAGACAAGGACATGATTGGTTCCCAATAGTGAAACTCGGCAAGTTGATTTTGGACACAGTCGGAGACAATAACTGCAATCGTTGACCCAATTAAGTCGGCCAAGAAGGGTTTCAACCCAGAGGAAAATTGTCGAAAAAATAAGACAAGTCCATCAACACAGAGAAAACAACTATTACACCCCGGCAGCTCGAACATCCAGACTATCAGGCTAGGGGGAAATTGTTATGAATCTGAGATACAGGCCCACATTCTAGAAGGCCCATGAAGGGCTAACAGCTAAGAGAAAAATTAAGGAAAGATTCATTAATTGTAGTAATCAGTGTTGTAAAAACGTAGTGTCGAAATGTAAAAATGGACTGTGTCTACGTTTTCATGACCAAAATCGAGTCAAAATGGTAGTTGAAACAGTTTTGAGTCGAAACGGTTCAAACGTAGTGTCGAAACGTAGAAACAGTTGACTTTTTCTTTTAAAAAAAACACAGTTAGATTTGAAGAAGAAGAAGGGAGAAAGAGAAGCAAAGACGAAGAAGAGCTTCATCGCCAACACCTTCACCATTGTTGGTTGTTACTCCAACCCAAACCAAAACACAAAAGAAGAAGAGCAGTTCAAGTTGCAGTTGCGGAAAGAAAAAATGAAGACATTTCTTCTTACTTGTTTCTATGCTTTCTTTTCTCTTCTACTCTCGCTTTAGTTTTGGCACTAAACAGCTCTTGATGCAAAGCATTTAAACTATATCCACAGTTAAGAAGGGAGGGAGGGGGAGGGGGGAGAGAGAGAGAGAGAGAGAGAGCAACGTTAGTGTTAATAAAAGGGAAGAGGAAGAGACTCACCGCCACACTCATGCTTGTATATTATTATAATCAATGCTTTAAGTAATTAATAAATCCATGAATAATATAAAAATATATATAATATGAATTTTTTTTGCATAGTTCAAATATATATATATAGGGGAAGGATATTGTGACAACCAAGTTGTGTTACTACCAATCAATCTCACCGTTAGATCGATTATGTTGATCCAACGGTTATATTTATTTCCATCTTTGTATGGTCGTGATTCCTCATATTTAAAGTGAAAGCATTAAATATGGGAAATCATAACCATACAAAGGTGAAAATAAATATAAAGTATTAAATTTGAGGAATCATGACCATACAAAGATGAAAATAAATATAACCGTTGGATCAATATAATCGATCTAACAGTAAGATTGATTGGTAGTCACTTGGTAGTAACACAACTTGGTTGTCACAATATCCTTCCATATATATATATATATATATATATATATATATATATATATATATATATATATATATATATATAAAACACGTAATAATAAAAAAAAATCATATATATTTTTAGTCATTAATTAGCTTAAATTTAATAACTTATATAATTAATACATTAAAATCATTCTATATAAATTAAAACAAAGATTAAAATTGACATTCTTATAAAATAAACATGTTTCTGGGTTTTGGTTTTATATATGTTGGGGGATAGGATCCGTTTACAAACTTTTTTTGCAAATTACACTAAGTATGACCGGTCGTACACTGCATGATTAAAGTATGATCGGTCGTACTTAGTGTAGTTTGTAAACAAAAAAGTTTGTAAATATAACCTGCTCCATATGTTGGATATATATTTTATTTTTAATACGTTAGTAAACTCTTACATTTCGTTTACGTTTTGCGATTTTACATTTTTGCTCACCCCTACCGTTTTTACATAGACTCTACGTTTTAATAACATTGGTAGTAATCTTAGTGCGACAACAATGAATTAAGAACTAGAACCTCAATATTCCTAAGAGGCCCATAAGTCCACTCATGTCACGTAACTCATCTATAAACAAAGAGTTAAGTCAACCAAGTACACACTTTTGAACCTTCTCTCTCTTAGCTATCAGTGTGCACACACCTCACTCTTTGGCTATGCCGTCATTATTATAGTGCTTAATAATTCGCTACTCTTTAAAGTACCTTCCCAATAAGTGCTTGAGAGAGAGCACCTAGTTCCTATAGAAATATACAAATCTCTTATTGGAAATCCTGATCCTTCTGGGATCGAACAAGTATTTAACAATCTAATGATGGTCGTAGTAAAAGTAGATTCTCAATGCAAAATTAATATGTATATTTTGAGTAGTAAGAAAATTAATGTATATTATCTTAATGTTGCCAGCACCTAATAACACAGAAAATGCTGAACCGATTATGTACCAGTGCAGGCACGCAAGTCAAGCAATGCCATCCCTTTCATAATGGTAAATAAAAAAAATGCAGAGTAAAACACACTCAAAGTGTTAACGAAGGGAGCAAAGCCGATTGAGAAAGACGTGCTAGTGACACTGACCGTTTCAAAATGCCGGCCACTAAAGCTACTATTGTTACTTTCTGCCCTTTGGCTCATTTCCATGGGTTCTTATTGTCAATTGCATTCAGAATATAACACAATATTATTGTTGTTTTATCGGCCATTTGGCATTGTAATGTGAATGTGATGTCTTTAAGTGAGTTCAGCTAATTTCACTATTTTGATTATCCAACCAACCATAGAATACAGATAATGAAACCAAAATATAGAGCCACTTCAAGGGAAGGGGAATCCAAAACTGCTGCAGCAAAAATGGGTGTGAAACCATTCTCGGTATTCTTCATTGTCATCTTTTTGTTTTTTCTAATGGCCAATTCAGAGAAAGAAGAGGTGAGGCAAGGCCTAGTCACGTTCTTGGATAAACTTGCACCAGGGAATGGACAAAGAGATTCCATGTTGGGTTGGAACCTCATATCAGATCCCTGCACTGATAAGTGGCATGGTGTGAGTTGCCATTCAGACAACAAATCCGTGAAGAGTATAGTTCTTGAGAAGTTTAGCCTAAGTGGTGTTGTTGATGCAAGTTCTCTTTGCATAGTGAAGTCTCTTCAAGTTCTTAGGTTGAGGAACAATGGTTTACATGATTTGATACCGGAGGATATACGAAAATGCAAGTCCTTGACTCACTTGTTTTTGAGTGGGAATAAATTCTCTGGCGATCTTCCTATTTCTATTGCTGAACTAAGTAACTTGAAGCGGCTTCATGTTTCGGACAACTACTTCACGGGACAGCTTCCTAACATGGTTTGTGTTTCAAGTTTGATATCTTTTCTTGCTGAAAACAACAACTTCACTGGGAAAATTCCTGATTTTGACTTCTCCAACCTTGATGCGTTTAATGTCTCCAACAACAATTTACAAGGTCCAGTTCCTGATGTTGGAGGCAAATTCAATGCAGATAGCTTTTCTGGTAATCTTAATTTATGTGGAAAACCACTTTCAAACGCATGTCCACCTTCTTCATCTCCATCTCCATCTCCATCTTCTTCTTCTTCTCAGCCACTTGAGAAGAAAGACAGAAAATCGTTTGGTCATGGCTTTCCCATATATTCAGGTTACATAATTCTTGGTTTAGTTGTCCTGCTTTTCTTGTCCTTCAAATGGGTGAGTAAATTCAAGAACAAAGAAGAAGCATTGGAAGATGAGAAGAAGGAAATGGCACAAGAAACTAGTGGTGACAAGCCTAGTGAAACATCCAATTCCAATGGATCTAAGAATGGTATTGGGATAAGATCCATTAGATCCGAGTATTCGTTGACATCTTTGGAAAGTGGGATGACTACATCAGGCCTTGTTGTTCTTACAAGTCGAACACTCAGGGGATTTCAATTTGAGGACTTGCTCAGTGCTCCTGCTGAATTGATTAGGAGAGGAAAGCATGGAAGCCTCTACAAGGTTATGCTAGACAATGGGGTGGTGTTGGCAGTCAAGAGGATCAAAGATTGGGGAATTTCAAAGCAAGATTTTAAGAGAAGGATGGACCTGATAGCCCAAGTGAAGCATCCACGCGTAATGCCACCTGTTGCATACTATTGCTCCCAGCAAGAGAAGCTCTTGGCGTATGAATATCTGCAGAATGGTAGTCTCTTCATGTTGCTCTATGGTAAGTGTTTAGCAGGGTGTCAATACTTCCATTTGACATACAAAGTAATAAATTAGTATAGCTAGTTTGGTAATTAGTCTCTACTAAAATTTGCTTACTATCTAAATGATGATGCCTAACACATTGCTTATAATTAGATTTCTGATTTCCCAATATGATGCTTACTGATTTCCTTTCGTGAGATATCTCTCTGTCTTCAGACCTAAAGAAATTTTTCTAACATGGTGGAACTAGGGTCTTAATTGAAATGTAGCCTCAAAGAATATATCTAACCAAATATGTCTTCACTATTAATGACCTCAGGATCTCCAAGTGGAAACTCTTTTGACTGGAGGAGCAGGCTAAATGTTGCAGCTGTAGTAGCTGAGGCTTTGGCATATATGCATGAGGAGCTTCTTGAGAGTGGAATAGCACATGGTAACTTGAAATCAAGTAACATTTTGTTTGACAAGAATATGGATCCATGGATAAGCGAATATGGCCTAATGGTGGCAGAAAATCAAGACCAGTCTGTTATTTCTCACAACAAAAGCCTCAAAAACAAAAGCTTGACTGCAGCCACCTTCAAAGCTGATGTATATGCCTTTGGTGTGATGCTTCTCGAGCTGCTGACTGGGAAAGTAGTTAAAAATGATGGATTCGATTTAGTTAAATGGGCGAAATCAGTAGTTAGAGAGGAATGGACTGTGGAAGTTTTTGACAAGTTCCTAATCTCACAAGGTGCTTCTGAAGAGAGGATGATGAACTTGTTGCAGGTAGCACTAAAATGCGTCAGTTCTTCTCCTAACGATAGGCCAAGTATGAGTCAAGTTGCAGTGATGACAAATGCATTGAAAGAGGAAGAAGAAAAGTCCATATCCTTTGACACATGAACGAGAGTTGAGTTATAGACCTCTGCAGGTCAGATCTCTAAAAAGAAAAAACAAGCTTAGTTCAGGAAGTATTTCTTAATCCTAACCAATTTTCGTTAGTTTCAAGCAGATCATGAGCAGTACCATTAATATGAGAATTTAATTAATATGATAAGTGATTACAACATTGGCTGTAATTTCAATTAGCATAAGTATCTCTTCTTCTCTAGGGAGTAGGAACTGGTATTATATTTTCAATTAGCAATGAGATATGTACTTTTTACATATTACATGCCTCACAAGATGAGACAAACTTCAAGTTACCTCTGGAAATACTAAGCTGACAATAACAATATTAGCAAACCATTGAAGAACTCCAACAATCATTGAATTTGGGTGGCCCAAGCAATAGTTGGGTTTGTCGTGACTGACTATGATCATGTTCTCTCTTTGCTTCGCAAGAACCAGTAGTGTTTGTGTTTTCTTAATTTGCTCTCTTTAAATGCTATAATATGCTCAAGAAAGTCACCTGTGATATATGCTTGATAAGATGTATGGTTCACTTGTTTTGAAGGATTTCACCTTCTTTATTTGTCAAGAAATTTAATTTCATACGTAGTCTTTAAATTAATTTATGCAATTCAGTCCTATTAAGGTGAGTCCGTTTGAGACAATAACCAACGGGGTTGTCAAGTGTGACGTGGTATTCGTTTTCCGGGTTGGAATAAAATTTGACTTCACTACCCAAAACAACAGTTTCGTGTATAGTTTAAGGATTTAATGTGTCTACTGTAAATAAGTTATTGAGTATATATCTTTTTTAGTCCCTAACAAATTCCACGAGGCCCCAATTGGTCCCTAGCAATAAAAAATGCCATTCGCGGTCCTTGTATTTTAAATAAACGTGCTACGTTAGTCCTTCTGTTAGTTGGTATTCAACGGCCAAATTAACGGTGCACACGTGGAACGTTAGTGAGCTGAGTCACGTTACTCACAAGCCACGTTGGACAATAGAACGGCGTCGTTGTGAACATCAGTTCCTAACCATGAGTAATTAGAAGCGGACGACATCATTTATGAACCATACGCATCCTCAACCTTGGTCTTAACTGATTTGACACACTCACACAACAGTTAACTTCTGCATAAACCCGCTTTGCTCGTGAGCTTCATTTACGGTGAACAATGTGAAGTACGGTGGTTTGTGGGTCAACATCGCCTGTGCACTTGCAAGGATTTGGAGGTGGGCTGGTTGTTTGGTGGTACATCAAAAATACGCTTGTGTCCGTTAACTGGTTCCAAGAAGGTACGTGCATGTAAGCCTTTGTTTATTATCTATGGTCCCCCCTGTAAATGGTTCATTGATTTATGTTTAATGTGGTCACCCATATGTGGTTCCTGGTAAAGTTATGGTTAGGGTTTTAAAAGTACAGAATTTGTTAAATGTGGTCCCCTTTTGAGTATTGTATTTGCTATTTGTAGTATTTTGTGGACCCAAGTGTTGGGTAAATCGATTGCATGGCCATTTCAAAAAGCACTATGTTTTTGTTTGTTGCCACATTTTTGTGATTGTTTGTCCCTGAGTGTTACAGTAATATATATAGTAAAATTGTAAAGTATGGTTTCACAACTCAGTTGTAGTGTGAAATCAAATTGATTGGTTATATGCTACTGTAAAATAATGCAATGGTAGTGTGAAATATGTTTGTGGTCTGTTTTTCTTTACAAATGGATCAATATATAGTGATAAGATATCATCATGGGGGTGTGTTGGTGAGGAATGATGAAGGGAAGCTTACTTATGTAAATGGACTAGTGGATGATTTACCTGAGATGGATGCTGATTATATCAACTTGCGTGACCTTGAAACTCTATTCAAGGGGTGTGGATATAAAAAATGTAGACAGATGTTGTGGCTTAAGCCAAATGAGTGTGACTTAGAGGTAGGTTTAAGACCTCTTAATAAGGACTCTGACATTGTAGAAATGGTTAAAGCTGCCTTAGTTAATGGGAACAAGGTAGATATTTATTTCGAAGATTGCATTGCAGTTCCTGACATTGTAGCACCCGCACCTACAGAAGGGAGTGATGGGTTAAAGTGTGAAAATGGTGATGAGGAGGGGGTGTTAGGTGATTCAGTTGGCAGTGAAAGTGACTTGCATATGACTTCTGGTGATGAATATGAAGAAGGAGAGGGCAATGCACTGTCTAGTGATTCATATAACAGTGTAGAGGATGAGCCATACAAGCCTCCTCCCCCGGGTTATGAGGACCAAATAGAGGATGAAGATGACTATATTTCTGTACCTCATAAGTCTGGGGAAAAAAAGTCTAACTTAAAGAAGAAGAAGAAAAGGTTAACCAACATAATTGGGGAAAAAACTTGGAAGAGGATGACTACATATGTCATTTGAAGAGGATGGGTATGGATATAATTCTGAAGAGCTGAAGACTCCTCCTTCAAGTGGTGAAGAGGAGGTTGAAAGGCCTGTGTTTCCAAAGTTTAATGCAGAGAATACATTTGGTCATGTCCAACTAGAGCTTGGAATGGAATTTGTCAGTTTAGACCAATTTAAAAATGGTGTGAAAGACTACAATATTAGTCTTGGGAGACAATTTAAGTGGGTTAAAAATGACAAGATCAGAGCACGGGCCAAATACAATAATGAAGACTGTGATAGGATGATATACTGTGCATGGAACAACAAATTGAATAGTTTCCAAGTGAAGACATTCAATGACTCACATTTTTGCTGCAGACTTTTCCAAAATAAAAGGGCCAGCAAAGATTGGATTGCAAAAAAATTAGAGAAAAGGCTGGTGACATAGCCCAACATGACAAGGGCTAAAGCTTATGAGCATTTGAAAGAGAAATACAAGGTCCATGTACATCTAAAGAAAGTTAGCAAGACACTTAATAAAGCCAAAGGCATAATTAAAGGTTGTGAGAAGGAACAATATGCAAAGTTAAGGGACTACCTAGCAGAGCTTTTGAGAAGCAATCCTGGCTCCACTTGCCAGCTGCAAGTTATACCCCAGCCTGTCCCTGAAATGCCACAAATATTTTCAAAAATGTATATATGTCTTGATGCGTGTAAGAAAAGGTTCAAAGCTGGTTGTAGGTCATTGATTGGCCTGGATGATTGTTTCCTAAAATGATACTATAGGGGGGACATTTGTTGAGTGCAGTGGGAGAGAATGCAAACAAGAGCTTTTATGTAATTGCTTATGCAGTGGTGGACAATGAGACCAAGGAAAATTAGAAATGATTTCTGACTTTGTTACAAGAGGACATTGGAAATCATGAAGTCTATAGTTGGAACTTCATTTCTGATCAGCAAAAGGTATGTTTTATAAAACTTTCTTTGGTTTTATATGGTTAATTTATAATATGCTATTAGTTAAAGATGACTGTGTTGCTTGTCATATGTATGCAGGGTTTGATACCAGCTTTGCAGGGTTTCGTGTGTAGTGTGTTGTTTAAGGCTTTAATGTTTCTATAGTGAATGTAGATAAGTTATCTACATTTTTTTTTGGATTAAAAAATTATAATTAGAAAAACTATTATAATTCTATAATAAATTAAATTATAAAAATACCTTAATTTTTACCCTAAAATAACGTCCTTTTTTATCCGATATAAATAATTTATATACATTAATAGTAGAAAAGATGAACTCATAGTTTAAATACCCGAAAATTGTGAGGGTAAGTTTTTCTTTCTCACTGTTTTGTGGTATGATTGTACCAAAAAAAATATCTACCTGTCTATCGGTTAACCTCCTACAGCAAATGATACATCATGCATAACCTCAATTTGAAGCTACAAATTCATGAACATGTTTCCTATTTATCTACCTGTCAATGTCTCATTCCTTGAAGAAAGCGATAACATAAGTTGCTCAATGATGCTCATAAGATAAAGCCTTATCCTTTTCACCTTTTGCCCAGTTGATCACACAAGATAGTGTTTAGAATTAAAAAAAGAGATTTTAGAGGAAAAGCGAAAAAGACAAATACCCAATAGTTTTGACTAGCAATTAATATCGTTATAAACGAAGGCTCACATTACACGTAGACAAAGTTTATTGCATTTGCCAAGCTATTCCTAAATAAATAAATAAATAATAAACAAGCATAAGAGAAAATTCAGAATTACACACTCCTCCTACTGAATATCAACACGCTGTCGTATACTCCTCACCAACCAGTAAATGAATTATATAATAACAATATATATTGAAAAAGAAATAAATAAGAATATACTATAAATATGCTAAAAAAAAAAAACACACAACTTACGCCACGTTTCCACTCACGCTAACCTCGTGAAATTAGCGCAACACTCCACTGGCGCAGGTTAGCCTCCACGCAATCGCTCTTGCTTTCTTGCCATTTTCAGCCAAAAACGGCGACGTCTTGACCCGGATCTGTCGAAACGGACTTGGAAGGAGGAGGAGTCGAAGCGTAACGGACCGAGAAATTCCGAAATCCGTCATAACCGTCATCTTCGAAATCCCCGTTCTGCCCCGGGCCCTCATCGAAGTTCAAGGCGTAACTCATGGGGTCGTACTGGTATTTCCCCATTTGCCGGTAACCGCCGCTCCGGTTCCGATTGAACCGCCGAATGAACGTCTTCCAGCGCGGACCCGCCGCGATCTCCGACCACTCGCGAACTCTCATGAGAACCCTGAAGCCAGGCGACCACCACCGGTCACCGACGCTCCCGGTCATCTGGTGCGTCTGAGATTGAGACTCAGACCAAGACGTGGATCGCACGCGCTCCCACCACACAAAGCCAACGGAGGCAGAACGACGGGAGCCGAAGCAGCAGGGGAAGCAGAAGGCGCAGCGCGTGTTGGATAAGAGCGAGTTGGATCTCCCTTCGACTGTGGCGGTTGAATCGAGCTCCATAGGGTGAGAATTGGACATGTCGGAACAGAGCCTAATGTTTTGCTAATATTGTTTGTTTTTTGTTTGTTTCAGTTGTGGTTGCATATATAGTGTTTAATGTCTGTACTGTAACGGATCTTAAACCCCAATCATTCACTCATATCAGCGACTCTGTCAGCAGCGCTGCACTACTATATACAATTGTGATTTTTCTTTTTTTCTTTTTTTTATCGTTTTGTGACGTCAGTCATGGGATGCTGATTGTTTATTTTATTATTTGGTGAAGGCATTTTTATTATATTGGGTAGGCGTGGCGAAGAGTTTAGGAGCCGTCGAAGTTACAAGATATTTTTAGATATTGTAGGCAGTCAGAATATGCTGTACTGTTTGGTTGATTAGGTGTCAATTTAACTGATATTTTTTTAAATTTTCCTTATGAAATAAATTATAACTGTAATTTTTTTCTTAATTTTATGAATCAAATCATTTATCATTTTAAATAACATAATTTTATTTTAAGTAAAACAAACCTATTTTTTTATTAATTTTTTTATTCTCTCTTTCTTCTTTTAATTTTGATAAAGAGAAAGAACATAAAATATTAATAAATATATTAAAGAACATAAAATATTAATAAATATATATATTAAAGCATAATTATTTTATTTAAAAAATATAAAATTATTTCATTTGATATGATAAATATTATTTTATAACTATTAATTTAATAATAATTTTTTTTACAAAGATTATAAATATAACTTCACTCTTTTTTTTATATAGATGTTGTTGTGCCAGCAAATCCGAAGGGAAGCACGTCAACCGACATCGTCTATTTTTTTATTTTTTTTTTGGTAAATAAACAAAAGGAGGAATATATATATATAGAGTTTTATTAATCTCCTTTTACATAAGATAGATATCTTATGAAGTAGAGAGAAACTAGATGGGTCCCACCATTACAAGAAAAAAGAAAAAGAAAAAAAAGTGAGGTGCAGGAATCGAAGTGAGAGAAAATGAGATAAGCTACCTCATATAAAAGGAGACTAATATTTTTCATATACATAAAAATATTTTCACAGTCATTTTAGATAAGGTTATCTACAGCTATCTTTTTTTAACTAAGTATGATCGGTCCTACTTAGTTATAACAATAAAGCTGTTCTTTTTTTCTCTTTCCTCAAACACTGTCGGCTGACGTGGCGAAAAGAGAAAATGCAATTTTAATGTATGACCAGTCATACTTAGTTAAAATGAGGTAGATATAGACAACCTTATCTAAAGTGGTTGCAGAAATATTTTTCCCATATATATATATATATATATATATACGTAAAATTATTTGTGCAGTCGCTTTACGTATAGCAACGACAGCTATATAGTTATGATTTTTCAGATTTAATGTTTTCATCCTTTGTATGATTATGATTCCTCGCATTTAATGATTTCAAGTATATATATAGCAAATCTTTAATTGCTCTCAAGTTATCAGAAATATTTGACCCTAAAATCTAACATGTGATTTTCATCAATCAACAGTTATCATTTATTGGGAATCAAATTTATTAATTAATATTAATTTCCAATAAATGATAACTGTTGATTGGCAGAAATCAAATATTAGAATTTGGTGTCAAATTTTAAAATTTGACATTAAATATGAGATAGCATTCTTTGATATCAATGTCAAATTTTAATATTTGACATTAAATTCTAACTATTAAATTTCGTCAATCAAATGTTATTATTTATTACGAATTAATAATTAATTAATAAATTTGATTGACGAAAATCATAACCATTGATTGGCGGAAGAACAGTTAGGATTTGGTGTCAAATTTTAAAATTGACACCGATGTCAAATTTTAAAATTTGACTCCAAATTATAATATTTGATTTCCGCCAATCAACAGTTATCATTTATTGAGAATTAATATTAATCAATAAATTTGATTCCCAAGAAATGATAACTGTTGATTGGCGAAAATTACATGTTAGAATTTTGGGTCGAATTTCGAAATTTGACACCAATGTCAAATGATGTTATCCCTATGTGTGTGTGTGTATATATATATATATATATATATATATATATATATATATATATATATATATATGCAAAATCATTCCTGCAGCTGCTTTACGTACAATAAAGACAGGTGTATGGTTATGATTCCTCACATTTAATGCTTTCATCCTTTGTATGGTTATAATTTCCCGCATTTAATGTTTTCAAGTATATATATGACAAATATTTGATTATTGCACGTACAGCAGCTGCAGAAATGTAAACCCTATATATACATACACATATATATATATATATATATATATATATATATATATATATATATAAGTAAAATCATTATCATTCCTGCAGCTGCTTTACATACAATAAAGACAGGTATATGATTATGATTCCCCACATTTAATGATTTCATCCTTGGTATGGTTATTATTTCCTGCATTTAATGCTTTCAAGTATATATATGGCAAGTATTTGATTGCTGCACTACAGCAGTTGCAGAAATGTAAACCCCATATATATATATATATATATATATATATATATATATATATATATACATATATATATATATAGAGAGAGGTAGGATCCGTTGACACCAGTGTCAAATTTGAAATTTGACACCTTATCTGAGAGCTGGTAGATCAATGACTCTGATTTGTAAGCATGTGACATCATTGATTTTTTTTGATTTAACGGCTCTCAGATGAGAATAAATCTTTGGTACTACTGCTATACCAAAGATTCAGTGCATCCCACCAATGAAAATATTACATGTCAGTTAAAATTCTGTTTTTTCTGTCAAACTTTTTCTCTCTCCTATGATGTGTAATGTTCTTATTGATGAGATGCACTGAATCTTGGTACAACAGTAGTACCAAAGATTTATTCCTCAGATGAGGTGTCAAATGATCCTACCTCATATATAGAGAGAGAGGTAAGATCCTTTGACACCAGTGTCAAATTTCAAATTTGACACCTCATCTGATTTGTGATCATGTGACACCATTGATTTTTTTTATCTAACGACTCTCAGATAATATGTCAAATTTCAAATTTGACACTGGTGTCAAAGGATCCTGCCTCAATATATATATATATATATATATATATATATATATATATATATAGGATCAGGATCATTTTACACCGGTGTAAGACTAATAAGTCTTACAACACATCTGAGTACCATTGATTTTTGTACATCTGACGGTTATAATTTAGGAAGTCATGCGAATTAATTAATATTAATTAATTATTAATTACACTACAAATACCAATCGATGATTTCCGTCCATCAACGGTTGAGATTTGATGTAAGACTTGTTAGTCTTTGGCCCGTTTGGATGTGCTTTTGAAAAAAAGAACTTTTTATGAGTTGCTTTTTCTAGAAGAACTTTTTTTAAAAGCTAAAGATATTTTGCGTTTGGATATAATATTTGGAAAGTACTTTTAAGTAAAAATATTATTTGTATGTTAAAATAAAAAAGTTCTTTTATATATAAAATATCATATCGCCTTCCATTTCTTTCTTCTTCAATTACCATTTCTTCGAGCTTCCACAACAGACACACTTTCTCTCTCTCTTTATCTGAGTCATATTATATTAACTATTAACCATTGAATAAAATGGTTCTGAAATGAAGTATGAGACTCTTCGATTCTCTCACTGCAAATTGCATCTGAATCAAACACTATAATAACCTCATTCAAACATTGTCAATTCATTCTCTGTTCTTTTTCTATCGAAAGTATGATTTTTCTGTTTGTTTGAGGTTGGTTTGTAAAATGGAGGCTCAGCAGAGAAAGAGGAGGATTGGGGTTGTTATCACCGTCGCAAACGCCGCGCTTCGACGACAAGCAAGCGCAAGAGCTGCTATCTGTTTTTGACTTCTCTTTTTCCCAGAAGTTAAAAATCTTTGCTTTTTAATTTTGCTTTTTTCATTAACTTTTGCTTTTTTTTAAAGTCACCATCCAAATAGTTAAAAAATCCTAAAAGCACTTATATTTAAAAAAAAAAAGCAGCTTTTGGAATGGTAGAAGCCCATCCAAACAGCCTCTTACACGGGTGTAAAAATGGTATAAAAAGAACCTGTCTCATTATATATATATATATATATATATATATATATATATATGGCTTACCATTTCTCAAGTTGCTTGGAATAACTTTATTTACAGTCATTAAATCATAACCGTACAAAAATATATCAATGGTAATAAAAGAAGAGAAAAAAAAATTATAATCATTCAAAAGTGAATCAATAAATATAAGAAAATAAATAAATAAAATGACATAATTTTATGTTGACCAGAGATAAACATATCTTAAACAACTTGAGAAATATTTTTCATATATATATATATGTGTGTGTATGTATATGTGATGTTAATATTATAGCCTGAGTGACATAATTTTAAAGTATCATTAATTCTTGAACTTTGTAACTATCCTTCTTCATTTGTTAATTATATTTTTTATTCTAATAAATTTTAGAGTAAAGCTTCTTTTGAGTCCCTAATAAAAAATATGGTCCCCATTTTAGTCCTTTGTAAAAAAAAAAATTAGTCACAAGCAGTGTTTTAAAACCCGGCTCGGACCGACCAGGTTGACCCGGGACTCGGTGACCCGGTGGGTTCCCCAGTCCGAACGGGTAGTTGGACCGCCTCTGCAGTCAACCTGGATTGAATCGGTTGACCCGGCCGAAACCTGGCGACTCGGTTGACCCGGGTTAGACCGGTTATTACTTTTTTTTTTTTGGTAATTTTTTTGTTGTTGATAAGAACTCTTGAATTAAATCATATTCATATTTTATGGTGAATATGATTAAAAGTAAGGTGAAAATAATAAGGTATTTTAGATTAGTGCAGTTCGTTTATGTAATTTAGTTGCATCTTATAATGATCTCATGAAGTTAAGTGGTGATAAACACTGATGGTCTCATGATCTCATCTCAACGGTGGGCACTTTTTTCTTAGTGTATATTTCATGCATACTATTTGTTATCATGATTTAATTTATCCGTATCATGTCAAGCACAAAAGGTGCATTTAACTTATATTGCAATTTAATCCAATATTAGGATATGGTCTAGAGCTAGAAGCTTAGAAGTATATAATATTTGTTATCATTGAAAAATTTTTATTTTTTGAAGTTCATTGATAGTTTTCTTATGTGAATTTTTATTAATATAAGTAATATTTTTATATTTTTAATATGTGAACAGTAAATCCGGTTGAACCCGGTTGAACCAGTGACCCAGTACCTCAACTGGTTCGATGACCGGTCCGAGTTTTAAAACACTGGTCACAAGGTTCCTAAAAAATTTAAAGTGGACCTATTTAGTTGAAATTGTGATCCCTCATGAATTTAAAAAAGACTCACATTAGTCCCTTAAAATGTCTAAAATGGGTCCACTTTGAATTTATTAGGGATCTCGCACTATTTTTTTATAAGGGACTAAAATGAGAGCAATATTCTTTATTAAGGACTCAAAATAGATTTTACTCTAATTTTTATATTATCTTATTACAGTGTTGTCCTATCGTTATCAATTGTCGGTGGCGGACACAAAAAAATTTCGAAGGGTAAGGATGAAATGACAAATGATAATATATAAACACATAAGTGTTGTATTATTTATTGGAAATTTTTTCTTATATTACACAAGATAACAAAAATTTCCTACACATACATGTAGAGGAGAGATGAGAGAGAATATAAAAGAGAAAAAATATATAAATAGGTCACATCTCTTTATATGTGAGTGTAGGAAAGTGTTTTTATCTTATATAGCATAAGAAAACAATTCTCCTTATTTTTTATGTATTATTAATATAATTTATTTTTTATATTATCATTTAATTATGTAAAAATAAAAAGTCTAATGTAATAATTATATTAAGCAGATAGTGGAGTAAACATGTATAAAATATAATATATAAATTTTATTAGAATCAAAAATATAATTAACAAATGAAGAAGGATCCATAGTTACAAAGTTCAAGAATTAATGATACTTTAAAATTATGACACTCAAGCTATAATATTAACATCGTGTGTGTGTGTGAGTGAGTGTATATATACATATGGATAATAAAATTATATATAAAACAAATTACCGTGGGGTGCACATGTCAGTACACAGTAGGATCTAATGTTCGTCCTGGTGATTTGTATAAACATATAGAAATAACAAAACCAACGCATGCATACAGAAATGGTAAGTCGCTGAGTATGACTGCTGTGGCATGCATGCCTTTGGGTTGACTTTTCCACAAACCAGTTCAGGAGCCGATCTGGTTCATGCCAATGGTAAAGTCAGAAATCTTTTTAAAAGGGCCGAAGCTATAGTTTAATTTTTTTAAAATTATAATTATTTGTAATAAAAAATTAAAATAATACTTATAATTAAATACTTCTCTAAGTTGTGAAGGGAGGAATTTAAAATATAGGGGTGATTGGTTCTCATGTGGAGAATTTTTATCTCGGGTGACACAAAAATGATGCAGGCCACATTTTTTTTTTCTTTTTTGAGTGACGTCCACATCAAGTTCATTTTAGCGGCATGAGAAAAAAAAGTCTCTTATTATAAGATATTCATAAAACTCTTAAATATATGATTAAAAAATTAGAAATAAAAAAAAATTAAATGATAAAATTCAGTTGGCGCATGATAGATAAGAAGATGAAAAATAAGAATATGAATGTGATCCTCCTCAATACCACTTTTAAGAGGGATATAAAGTGTTAATTCTGGACCTATCCTAAATCAGACTAGTCTCCAAGTGATAAATTAATTAGAATATTTCTAAAATAAAGTAAAATTATAAATGATATTTAAAGGTTTGTATAAACTTAAAAGAGAAGCAATAACCCATGCTAGTCCCACCTTCCCTCTACCACTAGTTGATGCCTTCTTTGTAATACTTCAGGGAACCAGAACAAAAATGGTTAATACATAAATACTCGTTGATATATTTTTAGTTAATTTTTAAACAATTTCTCGTAGACTTAATAATTGCCCCAAAAATAAAATGACCGAAGCCAAAATTTTCTTGTCAATATACAAATAAATATGTAAATATCAAAACATTAAATTTAATCATAGTAAATCTCCTTTTATAAACATAAAAACAAAATACTAATATAATTATCGATTTTTAAATATTCTGAATTTGTAAATTTATGAATAATTTTAAATTATAATTAATAATTATTTAAATATTATGTTACATGTCATAATAATTTGCTTCTTTGTATATTCATAAATATATTGTTTGCAAAGTGAGTAAAATAATATAATATATGTGAAAGAGTCTATAAATGAAATGATGTATATTGTCATGTGGTACTTAAAATGATAAAATGTGTAAATTTCATATTTAAGATAATTCGATGGTAAAATAATGCAAATATATATTATCTTGTGGCAAGTTAAAATTCCAACAATTGAAAAACTCATATTTTACAGTCAAAATTTTTGTTAATTGAAATTCTATAATACATTCTTCTTATTATTATTTAATAATAATATCTAATTCATGTAATTTGTTTTTACTTATATTTTAACACAAATCACTTCAGTAAAAATATAAAAACACAAATTTTTACACAAATTTTTAACAACAATCCCATAAACCATTGTGATTTGGCATACTCAGCAATAATTATTGCTGGAAACCATCATTATTAGCACCACCACCAACATGCAATATCCTCTATTGGTCATAACCGGTATTCCCTAACTACTGCCGATATCATCCAAAAGGATTCTAATTCAATTCAAAATATAGAAATGTTTTAAAATTCGGACTGATTATCGATTAATTCAAGATATTGGGATATTAGTTCAACCAGATTTAATGGGATATATTATTCACATATTAAAAAATATATAAATATATTACTTATAATAATATGAAGAAAGTGAGTGGTAATAAATGCTATAAGTGAAAGAGAATGTTATCTCTATCTACAACAAAAATGGCAGCATTACATTTTTTATCTTAACAATTTGCATAATTTTCAATTTTTTAATCAAATCCTCATAAAGGTAATTGGAATGCATAAAATAAGAGAATAATATTAATTAAATTATATAAAATTGATGCATTCCATCATCTCTCGTTAGTCTAACCCTTTCACGGAGATATAAGAAATTTGTGAATCAATGTTAAAAGTGAATCTCGCGAATCAACGACCATGACAAGTTGGTTAAAAAGTGAGATAGAATAAGATCATCATCTTCAAGATTTTATGCACTTTGAGACGATATAAAGCAAATGCAAATAAAAAATTAATGCACTATAGATATTTCTTTATAAATATAAAAGCATAACCGATGAAAATAACAATACCAATTATCCAAATGCTTTCATAAAATATAAACTTTTTTCAATTACAGAATATATTAATAGGAAGAAGAAAAGAATGAATATGGGGAAGGATAAAAAGTTGGCTATTATACATAGTCCCGACCAGAGCTTTGTTTTTTTTGTTGTTTTTTTTTAAGTTGAAAAATCAAATTGTTTTTAGGGTTCCTTCAGTTTCCGGTTCATTGATGCAAGTCCAGCTTGTTTAAGACTTTCCCCCTTTCTTTTGTTTGAATAAGAATCAAACTTAAAAAAAAAAATTGGTCTGTTTTTCAAAATAAAAAAAGGGGTCAATTAGGTTTTAATTTAACCTTCGGAGTCACCGAGACTCGGTTGGGTCAACCGTCTAAACCGAATCAAGTGTATGATCGGTCCAAATAGTCACTCGAATCGATTTTCTCACTGGGTCACCGAGACTCGGATCGTCCCGTTAAAACACTAAAATATAGTTCTTTATTTATCTCAAATATAAAAATTAAGATTCTTAGTCAATTATAATTCAAAAATACTTAAAATTAGAATTCTAATATGTAATTCGAATGATATCAACCAAACTGACCCTAAAATGCTAAGTTTCTAGCGATTGACACTAGACGGATTCATGCACTTTAGATAATATCCACCTTCAATGATGTGAGATTTCAAATTTCAACCATCAGGTCCATCAAAAATCATCAGTGATCATAATGTCTTTAGATAATATCAATTAAAACATATTTAATCCTCAATTGCACGTTTGACATCAAGATAATACACAATTTGTCTGAAACGTAGTCGTTAAGCCCAAAACTATAGGACACCATTAACTTGTTCTACCTCAACCAACAAAAGCTTATTAAAAGAAATCAAGTGAGCAGTTATCCTAAAAGATATGAAATGCATTTATGTGGAACGTAGATGCTAAGAAATAAAGATAGATGTACTCAATTTTTGTGACCTACTTTCTGAATTTTAGTTTTAATTGTGAATCAAGTATAAAAAATGGTGCATGGGTTAACTTGCTCAACTAAGAAACAGTTTATCATACAGATAGTGGTAAATGGTTGATGATTTCAGATTCTGAATGAATTCATGCATAACTGAATTGAGTTCAAATATACATACAATGGATTCTCATCCAGCTAGAATGCCTAGGTTCTGTATCTATGAATATATTTAGTATCCTCCTTTCAAAGGTACTGCTAAAGCCAACAGTTACATCCATTTGCCCCCACCTACCAATCAAAATCAATCACTCTAAACCCCCCTGCTCAGTTTGTGAATCCTAAAGCCGCAACATGCTTTACAATCAAAACTCAAAAGTCAGGTTTGAAACTGTTTTCTTAAAATGCTTGTGCACATCTTAGCAGAAAACAACTATCAAAACCGTAACCATTGTGTCTTTATCTTATGCAAGTGCCTAGACAGCTTAAGTGTATATTTCAAACAATTTTCTTGGAACAGACTTCTATTTTTTTGTTTTTTTTAAGGAGCTTCTGAAGAACATGTTGATTTAAGCCCCGAAGCATTACCAAGAGCATGAAGTAACATCATCACATCCACAGTATCATCTAAGTAGTATCTAGCTTTGCTTGGTTTTTGCCCAACAGTACATGCAAATATTTCTGGTGCTGAAGAGGAGGTTGCATTATAAGGCTTGGTTGATATGCTCTCAAACATATCCTCATCAGATTTATCATCCCCAATGCACAATACAAAATCTGGCAGTTTTCCTTTCCTGGTTAGTGTAGACAAAACTTCCTGTGCAACTAAACCTTTAGTAATCCCCTGTAATGTTGATTAACCAATATTATTAGCTTTTGAGAACAATAATAGGTTGAGAGATGAAGAGATAGGTATATATGTACCTGAAGCTTGACTTCAATAATATGTTGTCCCTTTTTAACAACTACAGGCTCATTTGCAAGTACATTTTCAAGGTGATTCAACAGCTCCATGGCCTGCCAAGATCCAAAATCAGGATCGGCATCATAGTAATGCCATACCAAGGCACTTTCTTTGCTCTCTATATAGGAGCCGTCTGTAGCCTCCGTATATGATCTCATCACAGGTTCCGCAATCCTCTTCCATGCAAAATCTGTACCTATATGACTCGTTTTCCAACTTGATTGTTTACCCCACCTATCGCAATGATCAAACAAAAATACAGTCAGTTTAGAGAACTTGGTAGTAACATGACAACCATTATACCACAATAAGCAAAAATTCCCATGTAATCATGTGCTAAAGGTGAATTCAAATTAATAAGCCAATGCTGTAAGCCCCAGACAAAAATCACTATTTATTTTCGTTCTTCCTTTTCGCCTCTTCTTATTTTTTAAGGGGAATATTTTGGTATGATTAAAACTATTTAAGGGATATTATTATGATTAACAGTTTAATTGCACATAATCAACTCTATAGAAGTACTCACCTTTTAAAATAACCATGCTCAGCTGCTATACCAAGATTTTCACACTGATCAAACCATTCACTCAATGAGGTTTTCCCCCTGCCGCTAACAATAAACACAGTGTTGTTAAGATCAGTGCAAAGATTATTTAGCACAGATATGACTTCAGGACTAGGGGCTTTAACAATGGAAGCTTCAGGTACAACTGTACCATCATAATCCAGAAAGATTGCCCTGCAAGTTGTCCTTTTATATGCAGAGACAATGTGGTCTATAGACAGCTTCCTGAAGCTAGGAGAGAGGGACAAAATTCTGAAATTCAGGCCAAAGCCAATGCCCCAACAACGTTTACTATAGTGATCTTTGCACGACAACACTAGATCTTGCTCAAAGCTTCGCGCCCAATAAGCCACATCGTGAGAACTAACATAACGATAGTGCTTCTCATGCCGCAAAATTTTCTCTCCAATAGGCATTGTGATAGCCAAATGTAGTGCTTCAGCTACGGCATTGATATCCCAAGGGTTTACCTTGATTGCCCCACTAAGAGATGGCGAGCACCCTATAAATTCTGAAACAACAAGCGCACTTGTATGAGGGGAGTCAGGAGCAATATCTAAGGCCTCGTCCATTTGATAACTCCCTTGCCTACAGACAATGTATTTGTATGGAACCAAATTCATACCATCCCGCACTGCATTCACAATGCAACATTCTGCCAAAGCATAATAAGCTATCTTCTCATAGAAAGGAACATCATAATCAATGATGATGACAGGTTCATAACCTGGAAAACCAAATCTTTCATTTATCTTTTTGGCAGTAGTGTATGCCTCCTCCTTAGCTTCCTCAAAATCTTTACCGGTACTCCCTGGGGGTTTCAAAATTTGGACTAGTATTAATTCACCCTGTAGTTCTGGATATTGCTGCAGGAGTTGTTGAAAAGCCAAGAGCTTTAAACTGATACCTTTAAATATATCCATATCATCAACACCAATAATAAGTTTTTTCCCTTTAAATTGTTTGCGGATTTCTCTAACTTTGATAGAAGAGGAAGAGTGATTTAAGGCAGATTGAAGTCTACCCATATGAATCCCAACAGGTAATATTTTAATGAATATTGTACGACCAAAGTATTCAAGCCCAATGTAACCCCTTTTGGATTTATATTCCAAGCCAAGCATTCTACTACAGCAGGACAAAAAATGGCGTGCATAATCAAATGTGTGAAAACCAATTAAATCTGCATTAAGCAATGCTTTCAAAATCTCACCTCTGACTGGCAGAGTTCGATAAATTTCTGATGAAGGAAATGGCCTATGGAGGAAAAATCCTAGCTTGACCCGACTATACCGCTTCCGCAGAAATGTTGGAAGAACCATTAGATGATAATCATGAACCCATACATAATCATCTTCTGGATTAATGATCTCCATGACTTTATCTGCAAATATCTTGTTAGCAGAAACATAAGCTTGCCACAAGGACCTATCAAAGCGATTGCAATAGCCTGGATACATGGGCAACATGTAATGGAATAGTGGCCACAAATATTGCTTGCAGAATCCATTATAAAACTGTTTTTGGAGGTCTGTAGGAATAAAAGTTGGCAAGCAATTGAATTCCTCCAGTAACTGAAGGGAAACTTTCTCTTGCTCGCTTGCATCAACATCAACATTCAGAGATCCCACGTAAACAACATCAGTATCAGAAGAGAGACCATCCTTTAACTGCAAAAAAATTGAATCTTCATCATAGCTAAAGCACCATCTGCCAGATATGCTATCCCTTTTACAATTGAGAGGAAGAAAATTTGCTACTATAATTATCTTGCGATGGTGTTCTGATGAGAAAACATTTGAACCATCATCATTACTTTGTCTACTATCTACATCAGATATAACTCCCGGAAGAGTCATAACTCGCGGTAGAGCTCTGGGAGTTTGAGGGTGATTTAGAATATCCCCTGACACCAAGTCCAACAAATTCATGCACGATCTTGTCACCATCTTTACTTAAATTCCCAGTTTTTGAAGCTTTAAAAGTGCAATATTATGTCGGAACCAGTATCCACAAGTAAAAAGATCTTGAATAAATAACCCAAAGAAAAGCAATAACCTGCAAAGATAAAAGAGAAATAGCTATAACTATACAATGGAGCAGTACAGGACACAAGTACATAAAATAATCAAACTCCACAAGTTCAATTATTCAGTAATTTTAATATTGGTAGATAATCACTGCTTTTAGTATATGTGTTTACACCATGGATTGGTTGTTGAAATTGGAAAACAAATCAATGATATTCACATGATGAGACAAGCATTTTCCAATTAATATTTAGTATGGTTAACTTTGTCAATGACTGTTGAAATTAAAAGTCTAACAAGTGACAATATCATTGAATGCTACAAAGATAAGTATACCATATACATATATGAACAAACATTTGCACAAACATGCCACCAATATATATAAGTACCTTGATAATCTATAATGCTGCATGTTAGAAACATATAAATACAGTTCCACAGCCCTCAATTTTTTCAGTAATTAGAAACCATTTAATTTAGTAAAAAAAAAAAAAAAAATCACTAGCCATTTATATATCACGTAAGAAAGAGAAAACATCAACTTACTTCCTAGCTACTAATTAGAAGAATCAAGTTGCCCGAGGAAATATTTTGTTCAATGTGAATTTCACTATCAAGTTAAAGAATGAGAAAACAAGGCTTGGATAAATATCATCACTGCATATCATGTGTTTAGTACTAAGATTTTGGGTTCAAGCACATCTCCAACCAGCGATTATCTTGACCCCACTAGATAAGCGTGTATCTTCTAGGAGACTGTAAAAAGAAGACCACATCTCTATCAAGCATTAAGGGATCAAATCCCCCTCCATCCCTAAATCAAATGAATCACCACCAATCAAATATTATGCATATGTGAATCCCCTATTTCAGAAGAATAAAATCAAGTCAAAGGAATAATCAAATAGGGTGCATTCAATAGCACTGATTTAATTACTTTTCATTTAACAATTTAAGAATAATTTACTTTTCGATTTCTTTCGTGAGAATTGATGAAATCAAAGCAAAAAAAGAAAAGAAAAATTAATGAATCATTGAATCGTGCGACTCGTATCGGTGGGTGATATAAAATTGCACAGGTTCATGCATATATTGCAGAATTCAAAGTCATCTTTGATTCATCACATGATATGAATCGTTGGCTTGTCGAATAGTACCGAATCGTGAGGTTCGAATTGCGAATTGTAAAATTCTAACAACTATGATCACCACTTTTTAGGGTTATCTATGACTCACCCTCTCCATCCCTTGACCAAGTACCTGTCTACTGTATAAATAAGGTTAAACCCCAGGTATGAGATCTCTTCCCTCAAGTACTTACCATTGATGCAACCTCTAACTTAGTGTCGGAGTGGCTTCTGTAAATACACCCCCACACTCTGCTCTTGCACCAAGAGCATTAGCACCTTCAACCATTTTGCCTAGAATCAGGTTTGCCCCTACCATTGATTATGGAATGAAATATTATTATTATGATCCTTCTAATGATCAATTTTCTTTTAAACCTTCTAATTAACACTAGATTTTCAAATGCAGATTCAATCCAAAACCCATAATCACCCACTTAAAACAAAAAGGTACCATAGATTAAAATGCATACAACAAAAGCTCCACATGTTTACCTGGATTTAACTCAATCACATACAGCTAATCTCATGAATATCTTTTCATACCTGATCTTTCACCCAATTCTATACGAGCACAGTCAGAATTGATCATAAACACAGAATCACAAACTTCAAATAAGCTAAATTCGCAACCAAAAAGCATATAAGTAAACAGCCTCAAGTATACCCAGATTTTGAATTCGTACTTATGAACATCTCTTTTCAATTATTCGCCTTTCAGACAATTCCTCGTTGTCTACCACATGAAGCCCGTGAACAAAAAGGCATTACACTTGAGGACAACTAGGCAATACACTGCTTAGCAGACCTACCGTGTAAAACAATTTCATGACTCACATTCCTATTATATCACTTAAATTTAGCTAAATAATTTAATTGCATATCTCAGTTTGGCAAGTAAATAAATCAATGGAATTCACCTACTTACAGAGTTCCTCCCTACACACAGTACCAAAAAAAAAAAAAGACAACCTTGTGCTATAAAGCCCTTCAAACTTAAAAGTAAATTGGAAGCACAAATGGGTTAGTCTTAGTTGCAGCTTAGCGTAATTATTTAGGAGGCTTTGTTTGTTACTGCATAAAAGATTTAATTTGCCTGTTGCATTTCCCAATTTTTGTTGTAAAGTTCTCATGAATTCCGTTTATATATTGACTAACACACACGTACAGCCTAGGGTACCAAGGACCTCGTACCAACTTCAACAATATGTAGCATTATTACATTCATCTACATGCAACAAACAGCTCCAAATGCAAACATAACGAACCCCGCAAGACCTAAATAGCAAGAAAGACAGAGAATAGCATGCATTTACCTTAAAAGCATCAAAGAGGTCCAAACAACACAAGATTAACACTCAGTGACTATACAGAAAATCATCATCCCGCATGAAAAACAACAACAGAGAGAGAGAGAGAGAGGAAAGAAAATTAGATATCAAAAAACTAATGTCCCTCTGATCGCTGAGGAAGCAACAAAATGAAAAGAAAGCTTCTCATCTGTGAGAAGATAATTCAAACCAAAAACAAAACATGTCAATGAAATCTCAAGCAGTCATTTTACCTTCTCCTTCCTTCGCTGCCTCAACAACCAACAAGAAACTTTCTGAACAAAATAACGAAAATGAGAATACACAGGTGGTGTATAAAAAAGTGCATATGTACTATGAACAGAACTGGCCTAGAATGAAAAAAAAATTGTTAATAAAATTTGATTTTTTAGATAAATATGACATATCGGATAAGTGTGTGTTAGGTTGGAAACTGATGAGATTTGTGGGAGTTTTATGGACTAGAAAAGAAACCGACCACAAAAAAAAAAAGAATATTAATAATAATATGTTGGGAATTTTGTTTCCGAGGTTTCGTTTGGTTTAGGTGCCTTAGTTTTAGTTAACTTCAAAAGTGTTCGTTCAACGAAAGGATGCTTAGAAACGTAGAAAGTCAAAAAGAGTAGCAAATCTTGTTGGCTATATTTTTATACTCAAGAGAGAGAGAAATCATCACGGTTGGATTGCAATCTAGTTGGTCTTACGTTTTGATCCTCAATATTTTGCTACCACAAATGCCCTTTTACTCAATCTCTTTTCATGACCTTTTGTCAAAGTTACTAATTACTGCTTAGCATAATTTTTTTTTTTTTTTTTTCGGGTTTGTCTACTCTCATGTAATTAGTTTATACTAGAGAGCATATCTTATGTTAAGACATAAAATAATGAGACCCACTACTAAAAAAGAGAAAAAAAAAGAAAAAAAAATAACAGCACACTTATCAAAGTGTTTATGGCATAAGATAGTAGTCTCCTATAATATAAGACTACTATTTCTTTTTCTTTTTTTATACATTAAAAAATTAAACACACAACTTATTATATAACTATTCACATTTTTCATCACTAGACTAACCTTAGTAACTTGTTTAGCATAAATTCTTAAATAATTGTGATATGCACTTGCACAAAAATTTCATTATTATATTCATATAAAAGTGAGTTGATCCACTAATTTTTTCTCTTTATAATAAGATCTACTCACTTTACACACGAGTGTGACGGAAATAAAATATTTCAATAACATGCAAAAGCCAAAATATTTTTTTTTTCATATTTTATAGTAATAATGTATCACTTCTTAATTGATTTAATGGATGCATATGTGTATGTTAAAAATACGTAAGAATTTCTCATTGATTATTGTGATTTTTATATTAATGTTAATGAGTTTAATTAATAACATTTTTTAAATTGAGAATTAATCATTCCATATGAGTTTTCATATGAAAATACTGTGTAAAGAGATATAAATGTATAAATTTTAAATAAAAGCTTCACAAGGATTTGCACACAAGTTATATTCCCATGTAACATGTTTGACAAAATAACGACTAGATAATGTATGAACATTATTTATTTGTTTTGAAATCATGGTTTGCGTAAAACTGAAAAAATAAACAAAATAAAAGTTTGCTTTCCTATCGGGTTAAACTATACATCTTAATCTATAATTAAACATGTTATAAGTAGTTCAAATGTTTCATAGTATGTGCATAGTTTTTTCTTCTAAGCGCACTGCACATAAATCTTATATTTTAATTGCGTAGCAGTATATCAAGGAACAGTTATAATGATTAAAAAAAAAATTATTAGAGCAACTCAAATAAACAAGTTTTTTTTTTTTTTGGGTACAGTTATAAACAAGTTTTTATCTCGCATATAATTTCTCTTGAAAGAAGTCGCACTGTATGGATGTAAAAGAATAGCAGAAATGTACCCCCCAAAAAAAATAAAAAATAGCGGGAAACAAAATTGCAAATATGGGTAAAACAGACATTTAATACAGTCTTGTGAATGACCAATGTTGAAGGAAGAATGCTTCCAAACGGGTCAATGGCACTGTTTTAAAGGATATATTTTTGGATGAAGTAAGTCTTTCATTACCAGAATAAATAATAGAGAGATAAGATATTATTCTGATCTTTTTCGTATTTAATTTATTTATTTATTTTTAATATTGTTGGATTCTAATCTTAAAAAATAATAATAATAATAAAGGTTAGTTGAGAGTCTAATCAAATTGGAGATAAGTAAATAGAAAATACATGAAAAGATGGTAGATATAATATTTGAGAAAAGTTATATTGACAAACTATTTTTCTTACAAATTTACAAACTGCACTAAGTTTGATTGGTCATAAACTCTTGATTGATGTATGGCCAGTTAGACTTAATGTAGTTTATAAGAGTTTGTAAATAAAAAAATTTATAAATATAACTCTTTATAATATTTTGGGATAAATTATATTTATAATTTTTTTTGATAAATTACATTATATATTCCCATGAATGCATTTCTAACCGAATCTGTTCTCAGAAATATATAATTGAATTTATAAAAGTTTATACATTTTTTTTATAAATATAATCATTTCTTCCTAATTTTACCGCCAATAATAAAGTAGCCATGGAATGGCGATTCTTTGCTTTGCGTTACTTAATAATTGACTTTGAATTTGGGTTGATAATTCGTTTTATAATATAATGCAATATCCATTTTCAACACACGTTTCTTTAAAATTTGAATCCATGGGTCTGAATGCGGTTATGCGGATAAACACAAACTTGTCCCACAAAGTCATGACATTAACAAAATACAAAATAGAGGACTTGGCTTGCCAGTAGGTTATCAGAATTTTCCTTTATATGATTGATTCCTTTACACCACTCTTTTCAAATTGGATATAAAAAATAGAATCCCAGCTAATTTGTTCAAAATAATCTGAAATTAATTCAACCATCAATCTATAACATGTTCCGAAAATGGATAAATTGACTCTAATTTAAAAATTAAATCAAAATTTTACATTTTGCATATAATTCGAATTAATTATGGGCTTAATATTTCTTATATTATAGGAGATAAAATAATTTTTTATACATATATAAAAGTATAGGTCCGTATGAAGAAAAAAAGAGAAATAAAAAATATGAATCTTACTCATTTTTATATAAGTATAAGAGATAAAAAAAATTTGGTAAACATAAGAGATAATTTTATCAAATTCATTAATTATATATTGGTTTAATTTTTTTTAAAAT